GGAAAAACGACGGCGAAACTTGCAGGGACGACGGGGGCCTTTTACCGGGCGGGTAAAACGCGATGATTTTTGCCCGTCCGGTGAAAGCCGATGAGACAAGTGTGTCGCGCGACTCCTTCGCCGGAGAAAAAGAAAAGGCGGACAAAAGCGTCTGGAAAGCCGGCGCGGAGTGTCCCGAGGAGAGAGAGAGAGAGAAAGAGAGAGGGAGAAAAAGTGCGTCGAGTGACAAGCGGGACGTAGACGCACTCTCTTTTGGAAACGCTCCGTACAGCGGGGTGACTCGCGAACGGGCGGCTGCCGTTCCGATCGAGAACAGCGGACGGTGGTTTTACAGGCGCGCGAGAAAATATTGAAAGAGAGAGAGAGAGAGAGAGAGAGGACCGTGGGATTTGTTTGACACACACGTTGTGTCGCGAACAGCTCGCCGGAACGGCGTATTTAAGCGGAAACCGGTCGAACTAGACTTTAAGAGTTGGCGCTGCGGACCGACAAGCACTTTCCCGTTAACCGCTTATCCGCTCCAGTTTTTCGCGCTCTTTCGCGATATCGAGGCGCGGGCTTTATCACGACTCAAGGCGGTCGCGTTAATCACGATCATCGTCGCTACCACCGCTGCCCGCTGGTCCTACCTCGGGGCTTTACGCCGGAAACCGGGAAGAAAGCCCAGATCCACCAGCACGTTAATTAACTCCTGCGGTTGAGGTTGATTGAGCGTCTTGTAAAACTAGAGAGGAGAGACCGCGGCGGCAGCACCGCCTTTCAGGTCTTAAACCAGTTTTTGAAGTAACGGTAGCTAGCTTAGATTCAGACTTACAACGAAGAGAGCGCCGTCGTTTCCCGGGTTCCGTCGTAAATTTTCGTCCCTACGGCGACTTCAAACGATCGTGATGAGCGCGAGATAAAGAGAGAGAGAGAGAGAGACGCTCGTCCATGAACGAACGAACGAGTTGTCTCACCACCTGGCGCCCTTCTCTACCTGCGGCCGCGCGTCGATTCGAGCGGCGTCCGAAAGTTTTCCGGGAAGTTTTTCCCTGTGTGCACCCCCCGTCGATGTGAAAATATAGATCGCCGCTGGTGGTGGTGGTGTTCCTCTTCTCCGTAACTTGATTTACGAACGAACGAGCGAGCGGGCGCGCGTGCCTCTTACCTATTTATTCCCGGCGATTCTGCAAAACGACGCGCTCGATAATTCATCCGCAGCCGAGAAGTGTTGCTGCACCACGCGGACTGCTGCTAAATATTTCATGCGCCGATGCCGGTGGCTTTTCTATTATATAAAGCGCGCCGCTCGGCATTTTTAGCGACCGCCGCACAACGTAACCGCTCGTTCGCTCGCTCCCCTCCTCCCCAGCCCTCCTCCCCCGCGTCCCTTTCCGGCCGATTGTCTCTCGCGGTCAGCCTCCGCAACAGCACGGCTCACGTCGAACGTCGTTAACAACGACACACGGGCCGTTAATGAATGCACCGCGAACGCGTGCGTCGTCTATCGGCCGCATGCACCGTGTCACGTGGCTCTCTTCACGCTTGACCCGTGCAGCCTCCCGCTTTCACGTTGCGCAAAACATCACTCGGCCCCCGCTCTGCGAGCGGACGACGCGATTTACGGCTCCTCCTTCTNCCCCCTCCTTTTTTTTTTGTTTTTTCAGGCTTCGACGCCGGCCGCGGTCCGTTATGATAAAAAAAAGGCTCGAGCGGCTCCGTTCGAACGGCCGCGGATTTGTGTCCGTTGCGCTCGTCGTCGCGACGACGCTTCATTTTTCGTTTCTCTCTTTTTCTCTGTCTATCTATCTCTCTCTCTTCCTTTCCTTTGACGTCGTTCTTCCTGATCGGGACAGCCGGTGACGGTTTTATATCCGCGAGGGACTTCCGAGCACATATCGCCAATCTCGAACTTGTCACGTCGCGGTCGAAGCACAGCTCAAAATTAAAAACTTTACCTTTCCGGAGGAAAACATTTCGGAAATTGTATCGCGAAATCGTGCGTGAAATCTGCGACGCTGCAATTATATGGGGGGATATTTAAGAAAGTACACGTAGGAATATTGGTTTTGTGAAATATTGATGACTGTTTGCGCAATTAATTTGTAAATAATATTTCGGCAAAACAGTAGCGACGTGGTGAGTCATTTTATCAGAATATTTGCCAAACTAAGTTTCGAGAGAAATTGCCCAATTAATTAAGAAAAAATATTTCAACTATATTATGTTTGAAACATTTAGAAACATAATTGTGTCTGAGGAAGGATCAAATTGATGCATACATGCTTGTAAAAATGCACGATTACTCTTAAATTATAATCTAAAAATATTGCAACATGAAATATTACACATTCAATATGTCAAAGCTTCGCAAAGGAAGTAAGCGCTTTTGAAACATGGATGGAAATGAAATATAAATAAACACAAAGTTTATATATTTAAATATCTGCACGTTCATATAAAGTTCTCGCCTTTTTATTTATATCGGTGAACATTTAACCGATTTAACGATTTCAACTGAAATATTTTATCCGCAAATACTGTAAATATCACGAGATATTATTGCCGCATTATATTGTGAAAAATATTATAGGTTGTGATTTTACTTTTAAACATTGCAATAATTGTACAATAATATCCCAGAGAAATATCCCGGATTCGTCTAATTTTCGACGAATGACATATATTTCGAAGTTTTATCCAGACGAAAACGAGAGTGTCGCGACCTTTCATCTGCCGACTGCGTACGCTAAGTTTCGATCGAGCCTTGACATTCGCCAGGCCAAAACGAACCAGTCTCTCTAATCGTTCCCATTGTGTTTAGACATGATGATGTGACACAGTCCGACGTAATATAGCGCAACGTGATGCGATACGTCGAGTTAAGTGGAAATAACTGATCAGCCGAATGGCGTGGCGTGTCAGCTTTCAAGCCCTTCGCGTGACGTTCCTTGTCTCTCTTTTTCAGGAAGGTGACCCGAGCGTCGTCAAAGACCGCACCAACGATCGCACGGAGGGGTTCATCGGCTGGATAGAGACGCGCGCGTTCGCAGCTGCTGGAGGGAAGCGCGAGAGAGGAAGGAGAGGAAGCCGCCGCGATGGGAGAGAGACGCGGTACGAAGGCGCTAGAGCTCTGGTGCCGTCGAATAACCGACGGTTACCCGGGTGTAAACGTGCAAAACATGACCACCTCCTGGAGAGACGGGCTCGCCTTCTGCGCCATGATTCATCACTTTCGGCCGGATCTCATGTAAGTTTACATCGCGCGGTGTGCGTGTTAAGCGTGTGTGCGCGCGCGTCTCGCCGGCCTTGTAACAACGCGCCCTATTTCCGAAATTACGATATTACACCGACGATATGGGCGATTCATTTTTCCAGTGTTCATCAAACGACCGTCCTCCCTCTCTCTTTCTCTCCGTCCAGCGCTCTCCCTTTCTCCATAATGAGGATTTAAACGCGATTCCTCGGGCGCAACGCCGCTCTTCCCATTCCCGCCGATTGGACGTGCTCTCTCGAGGGCGCGCGATTTAGCCCGCCGGGCGAGCACGAGACTCTTGGCGCGAGCTCAAATTGTCCTCGTTAAGCTGATTGTCCCGTGAATTAAGTATATAACGGAGAGAGCGAGTCCAAATTCGCGCGTGCGTGCGTGCGTGCGTGCGTGCTTGCGAGCATCGTCGCGCTCGGTTGGCTGTATTCCGTTTTCGTCTTAATTACGCGCGATATGTCGATTCCCCCCTCGTCGTCGGGAAAGTTCGTTTATGTGGCGTGAAAGTTTCGCGTCCCGCGATCGTTAACAAAAGGGCGACGCACTGCGCGGCGGGTCGGAAATTCAGAGATCCGGATATTCAAGGACGTCTCACGGCGGGCTCTCAGTGCGTTCGCGCGCTCGACGAATTATTAAAATATCCGGGAATTCGGGAGATGCAAAAATCCAGGGAGAGAGGGAGCGGGCGAGCGAGAGAAAAGATGTGAGGGTGAGAGACAGAGAGGGATTCCGACGCGTCCCTGACGGATTGTCCGCTTCGCGGTAATCCCAGGATTTCGCGTCGCCGTCGCTCGACGACGAAGGGAAGGTCCTTCTAAAAATAGAAGTTCAGTGAATTGGCGATCGATAAAGCAACAGCAGCCTGCACCCATCACGCGGGAGAGAGAAAGAGGGAGAGGAAGGGAGAGAGAGAGAGAGAGAGAGAGAAGATGTGCCTCTCGGTGTTTGCCGCTGATAAAGGAGCTGGAACCGGAATTCGACACGTTGCTGCAACATTACGCAACGTTTGCGGGGGCGGCCGACACCTGCTCGTCCGACCTTCAGTCAAGGCGAGGAATACTTCCTTCCACCCCCTCTCCCCTTTCCCCTTTCACTCTATCTATCTCTCTGTATGTATATTTCCACTTCACCCTCGTCCCCATTCGGCTCATAGCGTCGACAGTCGCAAACTGATTTTAGCCTAGTTCCATATTGCGTAACACACGGTCCAATTTGTTCGGAACGTAAGCCGCTTTCTTTCACGGCGAGACGACGTCGCTGTGTCGCTCCCTCATTCTCGCGTAATAAAATTAGCGACCGCGGTCGGTCGAGCGCCGGGGGTTAACGCCGAAATTGTGTCGACGTTAGAACCGACGAGAGCTTACGCGCGTTATTCTCTTTCTCTGTCTTTTTTCCCTCTTTTCCCCGTATCTTTCTGCGCGGCGAATAATCGATAGAGCAGCGAGGAGCTGAGTCCAACATCGTCGCGAATATCGTGAGATTTATTCGCCTTCAATTATTCATGAGGACTAACGGTAACCTCGAATTTTCTTGGCGAATGTCCAAATATTTCTATGCATATATATAAATATAAATACATACATATGTATCACTGGGTGATCGGAAACATCCGATAATTATTGGATACGACCGTTCGGCACATTGACTTCGGAATGAATAAATTATGCGAGCGAGGGACGTCGTTATGCAAACGCGAACGGGCGCCGGCTTCCCGCGAAGAAAAACGGCGATAAACCAAGCTGGCGTCTCGCGGGCTGGACTTTTTAATAATCGCTCTTCGCGTTTCGCGACATCAGATGTAAAAACGAGAGAGAGAAGGAGAGAGGGAGAGAGAGAGAAATGGACCGCAAAGAAGTTCCGATTGGATCGTCGTACTATGAATATCCTGCCGATATCCTGTGCGGGTCTCTGATAAACGACGGTGATCTGCCATCGTAGATTAAGCGGCTTCTTTAAGAAGAATGCGCTCTCCTACGCGCGGACAAGGGAATCCCGACCTTTCTTTATCGTCTTCGCAAAAAGCCTTCCCCATGTCCCCCGGGCCTCCATCGACTATATTTTTACCCACTCGATTCTATCGTGGCGGGATTAGGCTCTCTCTCTCTCTCTTTCTCTCTAGACGATCTAAGCAGAAGATGTAACTATAGATGCTCTCGTTTCATATGGTCGAACGTTATTTCTTCGAAAGTCGTCGGACGGACCACGACGCGAGCTTACAGTCCGAGAAAAATCTACATTTGACTCAAGAGAGAGAATATCACTTCGCGAAAGAGAGAGAGAGAGAGAGAGAGGGGGGGGGGAATATTCACCCGAACAGCCCGAAACGAGGGAGCCTCGTTTGACGTTTGACTCCTTGACGAAGGCGAACGAGCCCGACGAATGACATTTTCGTGGGTTCCACGACCGGCGTAATTCGCATCTTCTTCTCCTTTTCGGCTTTTTCCTTTGTTCCTTCCTTCCTTCTTCTCCCTCTTTTTCTTTCTTTTTATCACGGTCAGGATCGTTACGAGGCTATTCTTCTTTATCTCCCGCTCTCATTGTCTCGGCCAGTCCGGCAAAATCTACTCGAACGTAAACGACGGCGGAGGTAGTAAAACGGCGAGAAGTTTTCCTTTACTGCCTTCCGTTCCCGCGGCCGGAATTTTCTCCCCGCCCTCCCTCGCCCGATCCGCCGCTTCCTCCCCGCGAGAACCTCAAAGCGAACTCCGACCGAGCTATTTTCACCCTCCTCCGACAAAGGACAAAGGTTTCGAGATACCCGTGGTGGCGCGCCGCGCACTTTAATCGTATTATTGCGTTAGAAAGTGTGCGTGCGAAACGATCGGGAATTAAAGAGACCCGCGGCACGAAGAGTCCGGGCCTCTCGGCCGACTTTTGCAACGCTGCCGGGCCCGCTGGAGGAGCGGCAACCGGCTGCCCCGGAAGATTGGATCATGTGGGAATATCTGGCGGCGATCTGACGACGACGGGAGAGGGCGCGGGTGAAAGTGAAACCGACAGGTGTGCCTGCGACCGATCGAAGAGAGGAGAATCGCGTGTTGCGAAACCGGTGAAATTCCGTGCGCGCGTTAATTCCAATAAACTCAAGTAAACCACCCACGCGCGTTTTATAACCGCCGGGCGAGAGAGAGAGAGAGAGAGAGAGATATCGAACGCGTTGCGTTCGGCGGCGCAACGTCAGCGACGCGATTTCCAACCTTCGGTTTTGGCTGGAGTTGAGCGCCGTAATTATCCCGGGAACATTTTTGATCGAAGTAACGTGGTTCGCGGTTTATTTCCCCCGAGGTCTCGGATTTAGTATCAGGATTATCTTGATCGAAGGCATAGATATATGAATGAAATACGAAACGCAAGTGAGGATACCTTCTTTTTCAAATTGTGGTCGTTTGTGCCCTCAACTATATCTTTTTCTAGTTTTAATCCAAAAATATTAATGACAATATGCTCGTCATGTGTTATTATGACGTTATAACAACTCTTTTACTAAAAATTGGTCCTTCGGACTACAATTCCTTTCATTTATGCGATTGCAATTACAAATAATAAACATTCTTTTCCCAGTATATTTATATTATTCGAGGGATCTTTTTTAATGAGAAAAAAGAAACCTTCCATACGGAAAGAAAAGTCTCAGCTCGTGTGATGGAATGGTGACCGAACGAAAATTCGATGACGAGAAACGATATATCTCTGTTACGGCGACTGGTTGAAAAACCCGAAAACAATTGGCTGAATGGAAACCTCCCACAGGAATTTTTCTGTTCGTGTAACCGAGCTTTCGTATTGCTCCAGGTGCAACAAAACAAGTCGGTTACACGAACACAGAATGTTTCTTTCTGTGCCGAGCGAATGGAGCCATTAATAAGTTGAAAATCGTTCGTGCGAATATATCGCCGGGCGACATATCTCTCGATGCAGATCCGTTTCAAAATTCGATCAGCGAGAGAAGAGAAATGGTTAACCTCGCTAAAATTACATTCATATTTTCGGCGTCAATTGTATCTTTTATCGTCCTAACCAAGTTAATATCAGTAAGTACGCACATGACGTTCTCATCACCAACACCACAATATAACGTCTGCCACAAAAGCGATCCCGACTGTAATGATTTGACTGTTCGTTATTATAGCCACAAATACCAAATACATTTTTCTCCAGGCGCGGTCTCGTTTCCCGTGGCCGTAATTCCGCGGAAGGAAACGTCGTGAGATAAGCGCGGTCGCGGATGAAATATCGCCGATGAGCCGAAATACGGGGGTGTATAAATCCGCGTGGCCTTTTTGCGGCTGCAATCGGAGAAGAAGCATGACGAGGAGGGGAAGAGAGGGAACAAGGAAAAGGGTGGGTGTGGCTGGAGAAATCTGATTCATCGTCTCCCTTTCTCTCTCTCCCTCGACGAGAGACGAAACCGTTCGTCGTCTATCATCTATCCTTCGCGTTCTTATCGCGAGTCGCGAACTCGCCGAAAAATCCCTACAATTATGCCGTCTCCCTGAGGAGGGAAAAATCGACGTAGAAACCGAGATTTATAGCCGCGCGCGCGTTATCGATAACAATAACCGGCTCGCCGCGCCTTCTCCTCGAACGGAATTCTGGTCCGCGCGGGTGCGCGCGCTCTCTCTGAAATCTATATTACTCGAAATTTCACGCCGCCTCGGCTTCCCAGCGAAACAATCGGTGTTCGGCTACGACTCGGCACTGCATCACGGGATCTCCGAAATATTCACAATGCCGGCCGGCTCACCGGGACGAGCGGCGTCGATTTCACGCTCTACATAAACCGCGACGAGAGTTTAACATCCACGCGGGATGCCTCGTTATCGCGGGTATCAGTCGAACGGCCGTGCGGCGTCGAACAGGTGCTCGTCTTTCGACCTAGAATTTCAAGTATTACTTCGACTGCCATGCAATATACACCGACACTCGACTTATGCATATCGATTTACCGAAAAGTGGAGCGCTCGTGTGCCGACTTCGGGGCGTTACAGCCGCTATTCTGCCGAATACGCGCGCACGGAAGAAAGGAAAAAAAAACAATTCCGTCAGTAACTGAATTTTCCATCGGCTGGGCATCGGACGAAAAATCGATGGTGCGAACGGAAAGATTCCTGTTGGAGGTTTCTACGCAGTCAACTGCTCCCGGTTGCCTCAACCGAGTCTCAAGGGTGACTTTGTCTTGACGTGACTAAGGGTAACTTTCATTGATTCCGGTCAAGTTGATCGACGGTTAACCGACGTTTTAGCGACCAATCACATCGGCCAATTAGCTGAATTGATCAGTGCGATTGGCCGGTTTAAGCGTCGGCTAATAATTTAACCGGAGTTAGTGAAAGCCATCTTGAAGTTCACGCAAGTGTTCTCAGCCGCGGCAATATTTACTAGAAGTAGAAATCTTATTGACTATATGTGACAATATATTTCTTTCGCGTGTAAATAGACATTTACTTGTACGTATGAAAACATCTGCGACAAATATTAAATATTGGGAATTTGGTTTAATTCATAATATTGGGAATATCGGAATTTATTTTTGGAAAATATTTACCGGACGGGAAATCTAAACTTAAAATCATTAGATTCCTTCGACTGAAAGGAAAAGGAGTTTTACGTGATTTTATTAAACACTCTTAGATTTCGTACAATTTTACACTTACATTCAGTAATTTGTTTACAACTTAGGGCATTACCGTTTTCAAGTAAGCATTTATCACAAGCTATTAACGTACACTTAAATTGATAAAAAATATTGACATTAAATAAATTATATTATTAATGTTGATATCATGTAAATAAATAAAATATTGATACTGGAAGATACTGGAAACGGGTAGTTTACGTTTACTCGATTCCGGGGCATTTTTTCCCGCGTGCATTATTAGTTGCGAGCGCGCTGTTGGGAAACGTCTAATAGCCGATCGTGCGCGGTGATAATCGCGCCGGATTCGAGTCGATGAGAAGGGAACTGCGCCCTGCCGCGAGCGAAGAGTATCAGTCGCGGATTTTAACGTTCCCGCCGACCGAGCGTTCTTCCGCCGGACGCGCCTTATATAAGCTTCCTTTCGCCGGCTTTTCACCTTACGTCGCCGTTGCTTTTCAACGCTTTTGAACGCCTTAGAATGCACGACTCTCTGCCCCCTCGACGTTCCGCCGAAATTTCGCCGGCGATATTGCCGCGGCTTTTCGCGCCGGCTAGCAGCCAGCCGGCGCTTATTGACGTTGCTCCAGACTTTGAACCGATGGCGTTATCGACACTCGTTTTCGAACTGCCGTCCAAGTGGCGAGGCGTTCGAAATAATCCGCTGTTGTTTCCCGTGCTGAAACGTCCGTTCGTAAAACTTTTAATTGAACCTTTAATTCTACAACACAGGAGGAGGGGCTAAGATAGTAAAATAGGTTTAATTTTAATTCTAATGGTATAATTTGCCTCTGCTTTGATCTCGATGATGCTTTACATTTCTGTCCCCGTTGTTTTGGCGTCCAAATAATAAAATGAATATAGGTTGTTCAAGGTAGCAGTGGAATGTGACGTTTGTAGAGTTAAAGGTTCAAGAGAGAAATTAATGGGTGTCACCCGAGTCGAAATTTCAGTTCTGCGTTAAGTATATTTAGTTCTATATTAAGTCCACAAAGGTCACCTATCGTGCTTCCTTTGATGCTACAAATGAGAGGTTATTTCCGTTTTCTCCGCTTGAAGATTTAATGTGGAATTTAAAATCCCCCCTCCTTTCGGGAAGGTTTAAATTCCCTTTATAGGATCAAAGGTGCATTATTAGTGTTTCTTTGATGCTACAAATATGAAGTTATTTCCCCATTTTCTCTACCTGAAGAGAACGCAGGATTAAAATTTCGACTCGGACAAGTATCGTCAAAGTGGCTTTTCATCGGACTATAAGACGTCCAATTAGGCGCATCCTTGGGAGCGTCAAAGTAACGTCAAATTTCGAAAGGCATGGCCGAGAACGTGCGGGAGAAGAGAAATGAAAAATAAGAATATACAAAAGAGGCGAGCCAAGGCGAGTCACAAGATATCAGACGCGATAATTAAACTGAAATCATTCATTAGATCAACTCTGTCGCGCTTGACATCCGGTGGGATATCCGGTTCTCGTTAGCTTTCATCTTTCTCATTCTGGTTTTGAGCATCTATAGAGAACACCCGCCGGATCGATATTTCCATCTCGAAGAATAGCGCCTTGAAGAATAACGTTCTCAATAATGACGCTTCATCAGACTTTCCATTCCGGCGACGCAGTCCGTCCGTCCGTCCGTGGTAACGGCGTAAGATGAATTATGCATTCGCGGGATCTCTTTTCGGTCATGCGAAAATTGAATTACGATACACGCTCTCTATGTTCCGGTGTGACGTAACCCGATAGGGTGCCGCCTTCCGTATTTCCGACGTATTCTGTTATTCCGTTATAGACGACGACGACACGCCGATTTCAATACACGCGACAAATAGCGTCGATCAAGAATTGCGCACGGTAATCGCGCTCGAATATGTTGCGCCCCGCGATTTCCCGGCTTTAATACAGGAAACGTCACCGGCGCTCTCTCGTGTCCGCGCTCCCCTTGATTCGTTCCTGTAACTGACAAGCGCAGAATCGAGTTACCTGTAAAATCGCAAAGAGGACGACGCGTTAGGAAAGTCGCAAACGCTATCACCTCTCGTTCGTCCGCAAAGTCCGCTTCATTCAAGGCGGTCCCCGGGAATTCCTCGAGAATTCGCTGTGACTCTTATAGACCTCATATATACCCGTCGAAGAATATTATCTAATTATTTATCGCGACCTATTCCACTATTCTGGACTGAACATTTTCTCGCAACTCCTTTTTGTTAATAATATATCAGTATGATTTAAACGATGCATATGAAGGAAGAGCGGTATAAGAGTCGATTGCAGATTCAATTTGCATATACTTATAATGTATGACGCGGGTGAAAATTATTTTCATATGCCGGAATATCTTCGAATATCACACAGTGTGATCACGGAGAAAAGTAAATTCGCTGTCGCAGCGAAACCGTCGTTGTTATTGCGAAACATTCGTTGCGACAGCGATAGCGTTTAGTTGGCGTAACCAAATTAGCGAGTAATTACAGCGGAAACAGTTTTGTCGCTAGAAAAATGTTGCTGAATGAATTCGTCCTCGGGGCGCGTTAATTTGCTGTTAGAACAAAATAGCATATATTTTCCAACATTTACTAATTTATTCTTACGGTAAAATAATTCGTACATTCAGCAAAATGTATCCAGCGGATGGGAATTGGTATCCTTAACGAAAAATCATTTGCCGCCCGCGTAGTAACTGGCAGATTTCGCCGCGACAGCACAAAATTTATGCTGTGCTAGCTAATTATTTTTCCCCCGTGATATATCGTAGATCACATACTATCGGTTTCATCTGAATTATTCGATCTCCGTCCTCCCGTCGTACACTTCTTGACGTCGTGAATTGAAATCTGCACGCTACTTTCACGTTCTTATGGATAATTTGCTTTCTACTTGGGCGCCCTGTGGACTAACAGAAACTATTACTTTGACGATATCACGCTTGTTAATTTCTCTCTTGAACACCTTCAATTCTACAAATTTAATTTTAACGCTACTTTGAGGCAACCTATTTTCACTCGAAAACGCCGGAAACGGATATTTAAGACATCAGAGTCAAAGTAAGGTAGGTAAATTAAATGATTAGAATTGAAATTGACTCTATTCCGCTCTGCCGGCTCCTACTGTGCCGCAGAACTAAAGGTTTGTCTAACCTTGGGCCAAAATCTCGACCCGGTAACTACCCTGAAAATACACGCAGAATCGCAATCAGCCGCGAATTCGCGACCGCCCCCGGTGCACCCCCGATAAAGATCGAGCATATGTAACCGTGTTATTAGCAAGATTCCACGGTTGCCTCTCCCGTTTATTCGTGTCTTGTCTTTAATGAAAAAAACGATTCTCACGAAATAACCCCGCCTACAGAGCGAGGTCGACACCGCTTTGATTAATTCAAGAAATTTTCTTTGCACATCCGACGCTCTCATCGGCTTGGCCTTCGGGGACGAATAAATATGGACAATATGCCCGCGGAGTTATATATCGCGGTATACGAATAGTAGAAGATTAATGCTGTGCTCTCGGTCTTACTTATACAGTAGGATAAAAACGGACAACGGGCGGGTATCACTTCGTCGACCCCCTTCCTCCCGCCATTCTCTCTGATCTTCGTTCTTCTTCTCTTTGTTGCGCAGCGACTTCAACAGCCTGAACAAGGACGACGTGTACGGGAACAACGAGCTGGCGTTTAGAACGGCCGAGCAACACCTCGGGATTCCCGCCCTGCTGGACGCCGAGGATATGGCGTCGTGCACGGTGCCCGATCGATTGTCGATTCTCACCTACCTCTCGCAGTTCTACCAAACTTTCGGAGGTAAGTGTGCTGGGCGCGAACGATGTCTCCCGATTGAAAGCGAGTCGGCGGGTTTGCATCTACTGCAAAAGGGCGGAAACAAAGAAAAGTTTGGGGGAAAAGAGCGCGAGGAGGAGGTGGAGGATGAACGAGAATGTTCTTCTTTCCTTCTATAAAAGTCGCCTCCGACGTCTCGTAACTCGTGAACGAGTTCGCCCGAGCTCGGGGACAACGGTGGGGTCGAATTTCGCTGCGATATTTTCTCGTCTCTTCGCGACGTTCAATTAAATTGATTATTCTTGGCAATTCTCATTCACTCGCTCTTGCATCGTCGCTATATTAAATAACCGAAACCGGAATAGCAGCTCCTCCACCCGCGTGTTTCTCTCTCTCTCTCTCTCTTTCTCGCGCGCGAGTCCAAGCGCATCCATCGGTATTGGCGTTCGCATTTGGCAGCCCTCATATTTTTTTCACAAGACACTCGGATCTGACCCAAATAAGTCCGTCACGCGGATACTCGTCTCCATCACGGGATAAAAGGGGAAGAGAGAGAGAGAGGTGTGCGCGACGCGCGCTTCTGGCGGCAGTTTTTGTTCTCAATCTGGCTATCGACCGGCACCCGGCGCTCTTTTCATCGCTCTTCGCTAGACAGCTCTATCCGATACAGTCCTGCAGGAAAGTACGTCAGAGCAGGAGGAGGCTTTTTTTATTTCATCCTTCCTAAGAAAAGCGCGATTACGCCGCGCCGCGCTGACGCTGCTGCTTTTTTTTCATCATCCTTCCCTCCTCCTGATTACCGTACCGCTATTTTTACGGGAAACATAATTTACGTAATTCGCTGCTTCCTCACTCGAGGAGAGAGAGAAAGAGAGAGAGAGAGAGAGAGAATGAGAAAATCGACCTGAGAAGTGATGATCGCTCGATAGACCGAGAGCGCGAATTGTATAAAGAATGTTACTCTCGAAATTTCTCCAAGTAAGATCTCACGGAAAACTTGGAGCGAAAATTCACTCGGAGCGACGGCGGAGACCACCGTCACTTGGAATCACAAGAGTGCTTCACCCGAACCACAGAATGGATTCTTAATTCGCACGAGTGAACGTGAAATGTTTCATGCCGATTGATTTTGTTCCAGCGAGACGGTGAGGTGTATCGGATTCACTTTTCAATCTCCAATAAAAATGCTCACTCGACGATTCGGAGTGGACGGTCCCCTCCGCGCCGGGCGAAAAGTCACTCGAATTCGAGTGACTCGGCTGTCACTCTGCTTCACGAGTGGAATTTTTACTCGAAGGAATCCTCAAAGCAAGCGGATCGATCACAATCGGGTGTGTTTCAACGCGATAATCTTACGGATAATTCGCGAATGCGATTGACCGACTCGCTCACCCCTCACGTTTTCCCGAGTTCCACAGCTCTAACTAGTGCGGTCAGCATGATATTTAGATAATAGAAATCGGATAATATCCGCGAATTTAGATGCCCCGGTATTCATAGTCACTGATATTATCTCGGCAATCAGAGAGTAGTAACGAGTAAATAGTTAGGAGTCTGATGGTACGTTTGTTTGTTATCTGCCTGATCTTTGAGAAAGTAAATCAATTCTAAATTAACATGTCTGAAATTGTATAATTAATAATCAGTAATTTTTCCAAATCATTATCGAAGTTAGAATTGTTACAAATTAATAATTATATCTGAAATCCATCGTATACTCAGACTCGGCGAACCGGGTTGTACCCGAAAAGATTTCGATTATCCTGGTATCCGAGTAATCTTGAAAGACTTGGGTACCCGGTTAGTCGGGTAATTGACAGCACTAGTTCTAACCACGTGCACGTGTCCCCATCCTCTTTCTCTACCCTCTCTCTCTCTCTCTCTGTCGATTCACCCGATTTGAAGCGAAAAAAATACTGTTATCGGCACGCGCATCGCGTTTGCTTTCAGGTGAAAATCAGCCCGATCGACAGGCACGTGACGTTTGAAACGTCGCAACGCGTTAACGTGTCTCCCGCGATCACGACGAAGCGTTACTAAATGGGCCGAATAGGTTATATGCGACGAGATCGGGCACCGATCGATGTCAGCGATCGCTTTCTAGCTCTCTCTCCGCTTCGCGGACCGACGTATCTCTCGCAATTGTCCCTTCGATTAGTATCTCGCGCGGCGACGCGTGTCGCGGAAGTCGCACCGACACATAGGCGCGCCCGTTAGATCGGTATTTGCTCCAATAACGTCACGGAATTTTGAAACGCGCCGCTGTCCTAAAAATCACACGGCACGCACACTCTCTCTTTCGTTCCCAGCCGGATATCCCTCGGCAAATACAAAGTCGATTTGCTCGTAGTCGATATTTCGCTCTACGCAGAGAAAGGTTCCTTTGGATTTAATATATATATATATGTTTGACTTGAATTTGTTTGATATGAACAACTTAATTTATCAAATATGTTTTTGTTCAGATGAAAATGTTGCTTCACCGGAGTAGACTAATGTTGCTTGATAGAACAAACAGCGTTATTTAGAGGAAATAATGTTTGATTTTCAATAAAAAAAAATATTTACTTTATTATGTATTAAATATATTGTTCCGTTGGAATAAAGAAGTTCTCTAATATTTTTCTAGCATACTTTTGCTTCTTTCAAATAATTTATTGCTCGTGACAGTTATTGTGATGTTTCGTTGAGAGTATAAAAGAAATATGACATTTGACTTGAATATATTTATCGTTTGGGAAACCAAGCAATCCTTGAATCGAACATTCGTTCGTTTGTGTACGACGCCAAGAAACAAAATTGCAAAAGACAACCAAAGAAATTTTATTAAATCCGAGGAAATCCATTTCTCTGTGTATGGACGATGATAATGATCTCACAGCGTCTTAGATTCGTTTTGTTTAATCATAAATTTTATCATAGAAATTGTTGGAGAACACATTAAGCGATCTATCGCAACCGTCAACTCGCGTGGCTCTCATTGGCTATGTCTTGCTCATTGAACGTCTGAGAATCACAATGCAACATTCTCATTTTATTACTCTTATTATTTTGTTATTTTATTATTCTTCGACGTGTGTCCGCGGCAAACATTCCAGCTCGGGATCTCTATCTCTCCCCCCCCCCCCNGGGGCACGCTCGGCGTCGACCGAGCTTATATTTAATTTGCCGTTCTTATCGGCTCCCCGCGCTTGTTCTTGATTATCAAGGGCGCGCAATTGCCGCCTGTCCGGTCGCGGCGGGAGGATGACTTTGAAAATTTGAGTAGCCACTTGTTGAGCCGCTCGCAAGATTTGCATTCTTTTTCCGCGGTCTTTTTCGCCGTTCCCATCGCGATCGGGAAATAGCTGGTGTGTGCCGCCACCGGCATCGACCGCGCGTTATCGTTTGCAACCACTTGTTGAGCGTAAGGTTATTACGCATCGTAATCATTCATTTATCGCGGTATTTACGACAAATAAAGCGATAAATAAAAATATTTCGAGATCCCCTTCTTCTCCCGAGAACCGCGTTTTAATAATCGTGATAGATCGCACAGAGATGCGCGTTTCGCGCCCGTTACGCGCGCATCCGTTCGTTTATTTTTCACAAACAACGCGTCTCGCGAGAGAGAGAGAGAGAGAGAGAGAGAGAGAGAGAGAGAGAGAGAGACGTTATAACATCGACACTTTTGCGCAACGAGACGCCGCGGGCAACAACGCTCAAAGCAAGGCGAGTACGCGATCGAATCGAATAATTGACGCGCGACCTCCTCTCTCTCTCTCTCTCTCTCCTTCGTCGCTGCTGCCTCCCTCCACCCTCCGCGTTCGCGATTACTCGCGATTACGAAAGGGGAAGTGCGTCATTCGCTGGAATAATATCCGTACAGGTATTTCGATTTTATGCGACGCAGGACGCTCCATTAATAGCGATTCCCGCGGAGTCTTTCTCTCTCTCTTCCCCCCTATCTCTCTCCACTCCCTCCTCGGCATCTAATCCTACGGATTTTCAGACCGTGGCTGGATTAACCGTCCCGTTAACCTTTGAACGTCACGGTTAATCGCGATCGGCTCGTCGACTATCCGGCTCTCCGGTGAATACCCGCTCGCTCGCAAATTAACGCGATCGCGAGGAGAGCTCTATCTCGTATTTCTGAAATCACCACCCGCTTACCACGAGGAAATTGCCACATCTCGTAGTCAACGTCCTCTGCGGCGTTTCTAGTACAGCTGCATTAAACATTCCGGAGTGGCCGGCATTTCCGTTAATGGACGCGCGGAGAGCGTTAGACATTAGTTTTGCATTAGCGCGGTTAAGAAGTTACGGCGGGCGCGCACTCGCCATGTCATCGCGGCCGAGTATCCGTGGATCTTTTATCTCGCGACGGTCGTATCAATGTCGCGAATAGACGAAGTTTTAATGCACGCCGCGAAACGACGAGATTCACCCTCGAAACGTGCTTTTTCGCCGAGAGTTCCACGGGGCAAATCCACGTGTGGGAAGTAATGCTCTGAAACACGCTTGTCGCTTGGAACTCGCCTCTCGTGAGATACTCAGCATAGTAAAAAACATTTTGTACTTGAAATCGATCTTTGTTGAAGTTTTTGTATTAAATTGTTAACAATTGTTAAAGTTTTAAATTAACACAAAAATCTGAGCGAACCGTTTCGGTCGTGTGAAATATGCTGAATTTGACGCAAAATTTTCTACTGTGAGATTTGAATTCGCGGATTTAAATCGTCTCGTCGAGAATCTCGTCTAGATTCTCAATTGAATTTTACGATATACCTGCTGTTACATGTGTAATCGCGATCCAACTGAAAGATTCAGATCTAACTTCAAGTTCAAATCTGAATATATCTCATCGGAGACAAGTTTCAAATGACGACTATTAACACGGGTCTTAGATATCCGGCTGAACAAAATGCAGACATGCATTACGCAATAAAGGAGAACGAATGTTTCCATCCTCTTTTAAACCGTTAAATGACGCGTATTCGCGGGTCATCGGGAGACTTGCTGAGGTTTAACGTCTTTAACATTTTTACCACCCACTTGTGGCAAGACTCGATGTATTGTGTGCACCAACGTCTAACGATATTTTATTTCTCGACTTCTGTTCTTTTAGACCAAGTCTATTTCTAGACCAAGTCTACACTTTTTTAAGTACACCTGTCGCTTGTTTGTTTACTCCGCGTGCCTCTTCTTTCTTGTTTTCACGGTTTTGCGCGATGTGTGTACACGGATCGACCTTCCCGGTATCCTGTCATTAACTCGAGATCTCCGCGTGGCAAATTCACTCAGACAAAACTTAATGGATTAGAATAATTTTCCGACTCGCAGATTCAATAATTACAAACGGATTATCATAAGAGCCATTCGCGTTCCCGTCGTCAGGAAGAAATGACTTGAGTCGAAATTTTGATATGACTTTGACGCTCTTAACGACAGTTTGCACTTACTTAGATGGTCTATAGACTAATAGAAATTTATTTCGACGGTACTAACGCTTGTTAACTTCTCTCTTGAATTCCTTTTAATCCTACAGATTTCATTTTAATGCTATCTTGAGCAACCTATTTAGACGCTAAAGCAGCGAAAACAGCTGAAATTCAAGATATTATCAGGCTCCAAGTAGGACTAAATTATATTAGAATTGAAAATGAATTATTCATTTCGCTGCCTCGGCTCCTATTGTGTTGCAGAATTGAAGATTTAACGTAAGGCCGAACTTTCGATTCGGGGACGTCGGAAGGTGTTGCGGATTTTCGGCGTCGAATCGAAAATCGATCCAACGCGGATGTATAAACGAGCAACTTTGCTCGTGCTCACAATAAAGAGTTCACGGCTTGCTCTCTCCGTCGCCTTGCAAAAAAAAAGCCAATATTGTTCCAACAAAAGCGCATTTCCGCCTCCATTCGTCTGGACTAAAGAGTACCGACCCACAATAGCGGCACTTCCGGCTCTCGCAACGCATAAATATTCATGCCACGGAGGAAAGTTTTACAGGACGTTCCATAAACCACATCAGCGTTTTATCGAAGCGGCTACATTTCGCATTGGAAAGTTGCTCGTGTCCGGGCATTATTTATGTTTTAAATAAGCATCCTCTCGGCGCAATTATCATAACTCCGAATGTCACGAACCGAGCGTGCCCGTTGTAGCGTGAATTTTCGCGAGACTCCTCAAATTAATCGCTGATTATAATTATCGCCGGCAACGGAATAATTCAGATTTTGATGCTGGAGTCGCATGGAAATTTCAACTTTCATAAATTCGAATTATTAATTCCCATTTTCGAGCACGTGAGATTGGAAATTTATGCGTTTTTATGAATTATTTCGACGAAGTGACGACGGAGGATGAAGTGACCGAAATATCGCCTTTCTGTTTCAGGATCCTCGCCGAGTCGTCTGGCGACGAACAGAACGACCGAAAGTTCCGATGAGAGGATCGCCCCCGTTCCAGAGTCTCCTAAGCAAAAGGTGCGCTATTTTACCATTACGATTATGGTCAGTCGGTTGATCGATCGATCGATCGAAGCAGACACGCTTCTCGTAACTTTCTTTTGCCGGCTCCCCTTTTCCTCCGTCATTTTACGTAATTTTACAAAGTAGTCTTGTAAGTCGCGGGCTTGCGGAAGGAAGAAGGAAGCTCTCTCAAGCTTTTCCAGAGCGGAAAACCCATCACCATCGTAACACGTTGAGTGGTACATCGTCCGCGTGAACTTACTTGGATATAATTAATCACTTATTTTGTGCCGCACATACTTCGTTGTAATTTACCTTTGAACAGAAACGCGTGCGCACGTGGAAAGGACACGGCTACTTTGACGCTTTTCATGTCGTGTCTCTTCCTCTCTTTTGTTTCGCAATTTTCCCTATTTGTTCCTCAAGCGCGCGTTATTTCGCGAAAATTATCGAACGTATCGTGAACGTCGTCTCGTTTAACGCTCCGCGATCGGACGAATTTTCAAGAAGCCGCGCGTTTAATACCTTTCCGACGGCACTCAACGTGTTAACCGATCATTTTTTTCCCCCTCTCTTTCTTCCTCTTCTTCTCATTTTTTCTCTCTCTCTCTTTCGTTCTGTCTCCCTCTGTTTCTCATTTTACCCACGTATCGTGTGTTCATTGCGGGATTAGTCGACCCAATTCTCGATTCCTTTTTAAAAAGCGCAAGCGGCCGCGCGCGCAAAGTGACTGCGCGAGTGACTGCCGAATCCGGGATTTTTCCTCGCACGCGAAAACCGAAAACGAGATTCTCGGCGAGAGCACCGCTACCGAATAATAATTCGACTCGACATCCGCTCGTCGACGAGCGACGACGACGACGATGGCGGCGGCGGCGTGGTTTACCTTGACATCGGCGTCATCGCGCGCGTTGCAACTACGGCGGCAACAACAAATGTCATCGTCGGCGTTTGCGTAATCGCCTATACTCGCGCATTATCGACACAGTCGCTCGTACCTCCTCCTGCCCCGTCCTCTCCCCTTCTCCTACGCCTTTTTTTAACGCGCGCCCTTTTTCCATTATCTCGCTTAATGACCGGCCGAAGATGAGATGAGAGAAAAAGAGAGAGAGAGAGAGAGAACGTGGGCGAGAAGAGGAGGCAGGCTCGACGGCACGATTATCGCGCACGTAGTCGCACGCACACGAACGATCGATTGTGTTCTTTTGTGTGTCAAGTACACTCCCACGGAGGGGAAGATGCATAAATTTTATGTGTTCGGTAGCTCGGTATTGACAACGATAAATGGGCGTGTATGATGTCATGCGATGTGAAACTAAAAGAACGAGAAGAGAGAGAGAGAGCGACGACGCGCTTTTGTTACGTGAAACTGTACTTTCCTCCTTCTTCTTTATTATCATCATCATCATCATCATCTCTTTTTTCCTTTGGTAGCTTGCACTCTGTTGCGAATAATCGATTGGCGCTGATCGATGTTCGAGGATGTGTTAATTTTACGTGTAAACGTCTGTCCTTATGTGCAATGTGACGGTCTTGTGTTTGATGTCCGTTTTTCGTTTTTCGCGCGTGATCACCCCTCACCCGCCGTGTTCTCGCGGGGAAGGGGGAAGGTTCGGCGGGGAGAGAGAGCGGGATTGACTTTTGAGCCCCTTCGTCCGAAACGGAAATTTGCATGTCCACGGATCGTCCACGGCGGCACTTCCTCCTCCTCTTCCGCGTCGTGGAAAACGACGTCTCGGGGAAGAAGGAGATAAAAAGAACACGCCAAAGGTCACGAAGCAAAAAGCCCCGGCGAGCGGGAGGAGGAGAGGAAGAAACATGCGGTTGGCGTGTACGGTATCCGTGTTCCCGAGGATCCATTTAGCCGGTGATTTCGCGGCCAACAATGACCGCTTCTGTCAGTCATTCTGGCCGTCTTCGTGATCCCGATTCCAGGCTCTTCCTCGTGCTTACTTACCGAAGAGCTATTGCTACTTAGACCGGTACCGTAGGATCATCCTTAATAAGCGACCTAGCGCGAGAGCATTTGCATTCGCCGGTAGTGCGGCGAATACGTGCAGAGAGAGAGGCAGAGAAAGAGAGAGAAGGGACGGGAGAGTAACGCGCGTCGGAAAATTCGGATTGCGCGAATTACGGGCGAGAAAAGGCGAGTTTCTCCGTTTCTAATTTCAACGTTAATAATAATGATCCTCTCGATGCCGGAAGTCCCTCGTATCTTATCAGGGCGTCCCGCAAGTCACGCTCGTAAACATTACGTCGACAGATTTTTTCCCCGTCCCGTCCCATGTTTGATCTCTTTGTCTTCTCACTAAAATCACTTTCTTCAAAATTGAACTTTAATTACATTCCGTTTGTGGCATTGTGTATATATTTATCTCAATATTTTGCGCGCTCAAAATTAACGTTTATTATTTAGATAATTAAATAGAGTTATAAGAAAGTCTCTTTTAATAAATAATAAACTTGCGAAGAGTTAATATCGCCGCTAAAAATACGATTCTACGGACCGGCTGTCTTAATTTCAAAATCAACATTTGTTACTTAAATGGTTGAATAAAATTGTAGGAAGTCTTTTGTTAATGAATGGTAAACTTTATGAAAGGTGTTCCCTTAACGTCGTCACGGAAAATCCGGCAATCTTAACGTCGCGCGCCTCCGCACTAAAGCTCGATTTAAAGTTCCATTAAATCCCGAGTTTGACTAAACGACATGATTCCGTCATCTGTTTGCGCTCTCCGAGCGTATTTACGACGGGGAGACCCTTCTCACTATCCTCGCACGCTCGTTACGTCTCGAGGACATGAGGTTTTCGCCGGAGGAAAAGTCGAGTCCGCAATCACGAGGGAATCCGTCGTCCAAAATTAAGGTCGCGCAATTCGTGGCGACGTCGTCGCACCCTAGGTGCCACGAGCAAACACCCGTCAGCACACTGCTCGGCCGGATCCCTCCTCTCACGCGCCGTCCCTGAGATACTCTGTATATCCTTCATACTAATTATCCTTATCGCTGCCGTGGACTCCGCTCGTTCGTTTCGCTGTCGAAGCACATGTGCCGAGTTTTACCGCTCGAGGATCCATCGATCAGTCGGTCCGCGTGCTGAATCGCCTATAATGCACGGCCCGCGAAGTCGATGAATTCCCGCAAAGTCGTGGCGAAAGAGAGTGAGAAAGAGAAAGGAAAGAGAGAGAGAGAGAGAGAGAGAGAAAGCGAGTGACGTCGTTTGTGTGCACGTGTAACTCTTTTACGGTGATCTGTCGAAAAAGCAGCGTACGTGCCGCGAGTATACATTGAATTGATTTGGGGGAAAAAACGTGACGGAATTTGAAAAGTAAAACAGTTTTCCGACTGGTCCCGGAATTCCGGGAACCAAATATTGTTCTACGTTCTCACGCAGTTTATCCCCGTTAGTCTGGGGCACCCTGTATATTTATGTAATATCATTAATTTTCTTTTATCAACGAAAGATACTCTTCGAGACGAGAAAATACGCAATTCGTAAAGATATAATAAAACAAAATTATTGTTATAATCATTCCGGGAAAGAATTTTGTTTCCCGCTATATGGTCTCGCTGCGGTTTCGACGTTGATCGAATTTCTCGGGACAATATCGCACGTGTTCGCGGTATTTCGAGGAAAAACAAAATTAAAACTTCGCGAGATCGCTCCGGCAGCCGGAATCCGCGATCGCGACCTTTCGACGGGCCGTTCCTGCTTGTCGAACCTCTCGATTCCGATTTTTTCGAGACAATATGCATGTCCCGGTTATAACGCGCGTTTTCATGACGATGTGCGCGTCCGTTCTCCCGCTTTCGTCCGTCCGTCCGTCCCTTCGTCCGTCGCGATTGTCATAACCGGCTGCCATAGTTTCATGCCGACACGCGTGAGTCACGCGGCGAGGCCGTCCGCGGTTACGTTCCTATTTTTCTTCTCCTTTTTATCGCACACACTTCCACCGAGCGATCGTGCGCGGCCCATGGCATCGGTTCGCGACGCGCCGGAGGAATATCGGCGGTTTATATTCCGCTAGTTGCGCCGTCGCTTCGTCGCGATCGGTCAAGGTGTACGGAGGTGTAGTTAAAGCGAACGCGCCCACAAGTGCGTGAGTGCGCGCGCGAGGGACATCTCGGTGCGCGTTCGCGGACGATCCGCCACCGCCGGGAATCGCCGTCGTCTCGCGCTCGCATTGAAACCGTGTGTCAATCCGCCCCCTCCCCCGACCC